ATCCAAGGTCTATAGAACATAAGGTTACCCAATACCGATTCTCCTCCTCTGAGAGGCAAGGTGGGTCAGTGACGTAGCTGGTTCTATGAACAACACAACACGATGCGAGGTTTAAATATTTTATATAGACTGTACCCAAGACTGTACCAGTGTATAGGCTATCTTTTATTCTGACTGTATCGAACCAGTGACGTCAATTTGCGGGGTAATAATCGATACTACAGAGGCATAGGGAATGAGGTAACCTTATGTTCTATAAACCTTGGGTACCATCATCCTTAACCAACCTGGTACACTCATAACGTATACCAAATTTGGTTTTTCTAGCTTAATGTATTACGAAGCTATTGAACTTTTTAATAATTTAAGAGACAACTTTGAAGGCCTATAACTCCTCAGAATTTATTGTCCTCTACATGTCCCTACTCTATGTCGGTTCTTATGTGAATCATCCTGTATAATCGTTTATGAAATATGTTCCCCAGGTTAATGAAGCACAATTTTCGTCCTAATCACTTTCTCCCATTTCTTTTTATTCTTGAGATATCATCATTTTTTATGTCAAAAAGCAAATTTTTCGAAATATTCGCTTTTTGACTAATTTAGGTTGGTATAACTAATTCATGAGATATACTCGTTTATGAAGTATGTTCCCCAGGTTAATGAAGAACATTTCTTGTCCTAATCACTTTCTCCCACCTCTTTTCATTCTTGAGATATCATCAGTTTTTATGTCAAAAACGTCATTTTTCCAAATAATCGCTTTTTCACTAATATAGGTTGGTATAACTAATTCATGAGATATACTTGTTTATGAAATATGTTCCCCGGGTTAATGAAGAACATTTTTTGTTCTAATCACTTTTTACCAACTCTTTTTATTCTTGAGATATCATCAATTTTTATGTCAAAAACGTCATTTTTCGAAATATTCGCTTTTTGACTAATTTAGGTTGGTATAACTATTTCATGAGTTATAATCGTTTATGGAATATATTCCGCAGGTTAATAAAGAACATTGTTTGTCCTAATCACTTTCTCCCATCTCTTTTTATTTCTGATATATCATATTTTATGTCAAAAAACTTTTTAACTAATTTAGGTTGGTATAACTAATTCATGACATATACTCGTTTATGAAATATGTTCCCCAGGTTAATGAAGAACATTTTTTGTTCCAATCACTTTCTCCCACCTCTTTTTATTCTTCAGATATCATCAGTTTTTATTTCAAAAACGTCATTTTTTGAAATATTCGCTTTTTGACTAATTTAGGTTGGTATAACTGACTTATGAGATATACTCATTTATGAAATATGTTCCCCAGGTTAATGAAGAACATTTTTTGTCCTAATCACTTTCTCTCAACTCTTTTTATTCTTCAGATATCATCAATTTTTATGTCAAAAACGTCATTTTCCGAAATATTCACTTTTTGAGTAATTTAGGTTGGTATAACTAATTCATGAGATATACTCGTTTATGAAATATGTTCCCCAGGTTAATAAAGAACATTCTTTGTCATAACCTCTTTCTCTCATCTCTTTTAATTTTTGATACATTTTTATTTTTTATGTCAAAAAGCTCATTTTTCGAAATATTCGCTTTTTGACTAATTTAGGTTGGTATAACTAATTCATGATTAATAATCATTTATGAAATATGTTCCCCAGGTTAATAAAGAACATTCTTTGTCCTAATCACTTTCTCTGGACTCTTTTTATTCTTCAGATATCAGTTTTTATGTCAAAAGCGTCATTTTTCGAAACTAGAACTAACTAGAACGAGAACTGAAACTAACACTAAATCTAGAACTAGAAACATTCAAGTTTAGCCGTACGTCTTTTAAGACTGCTAAACCCGAATGTTTCTAGTTCTAATGTTAGTTCTAGTAACAATATTAGGTAGCGCTAGATAGTGCTAGATTATACAGGGTTCCCCATAATAGACTACTTATTTTAATAGCTCAATAAAATTGTTAAAACTTAATAAAACAAACATTTTTTTACACTTAATTACAATCTAATATTTGGTATTTACTGCAACATACGACTTATCCTAACTTTTAAAAATTACATCTTTTAACTGACCGCCATTAATTTTAATGCCTTTTTCAAGACTGTCATCATTAGAAATGAGTCATGACACGATGAAGCAAAACCTGATCTATTCACCGGACTTCTTCAGCAATTCTGTCCTTGACTTCTTAAATATTTTCTGGACGAGTTGCAAAAACCGTGGCTTTTAAATAGCCGCAAAGAAAAAAGTCTAGTGCAGTTAAGTTCAGGGACCTCGAAGACCAATTTTAATCCCCAAATCGTGGAATTAGTCGCCCATTAATCACTTTTCGCAGAACTTTCATAAAGTTTCTAGCGGTATGTGCTGTTGTTCCATCTTAGTGGAATAATAACGCATGATTTAGTAATCCCTGTCTTTTTAAATCAGGAATAAAAACGTCACTGTCAAAAAGTCACTGTTAGAGGACTGTTATTTCCACACAAATGATCCTACCCTACACCAAACAATAACTTTTGGATTATGGAGATTGTTTGTAATGATTTGTTGAGGATTTGGGTTTGACCAATACTTAAAATAATTTATTGATTGATGAAAAGATTGTGGATGTCTCCTCGATGTAAATTTAAAAATTCTTGGCAAAAAGTTAATCTGGCTTGTATATTTTGATAATCTCATATAGAATTTATTTTAATATCAAAATAGGTAGTCTATTACGGGGCACCTGTATATTAATATGTACTCCACGCAATTGAAGTAACATAAAGCCTGGGATTAAAATGAAGTGATCAGTAGACAGAAATGATTATCTAGAATAAACCAACCTCAATCAAGTGTACAAAGTTTTGGACTCAGTTCTCGCCGTAAATCTTTTTTTCTAAAAGTTCCATCTGGAATATAAACGAAACTGAGTACGTCAAACCACTGGAAAATACCCACATTTCCATAATATTTGGAACATAGTGGCTAGATTCAAATCCATTGGAATTAGCTCATTCGCATTTCATTACTTTTAGTGTTGAAGGAGCTAATGCAGAAGCTTCCACAGATTCAAAAATGAAGAAGAGACATTCGAGCTATCAACTTTTGGAAGTGTTGGCAGCAGTAATATGAGAAGAATTTATTTCTGCTCATATACTTTGGATACTCTCTACTTACAATTAGATGCATTAATAAGTATCTACAGGAGTACTAGATACATCACTTTTGGTTTATGAGACGGGAATGGTGATATTTTCGAAGAATTATTTAAGGTAAGTTTTTTTATGTTAATAATAACATTTCTTGCGGGATTTACACCACCAAATTACCTAGAATGAAAGATAAAAATCACGGTGGGACGATTATATTATTAATACTATTACGATAATTATAAAATACGCGATTAAAGGCCGGTTGTACAATATACCGATAAACTTCCCGACAGCGTTATCTGGCCGATAAGTTAATTTGTATTATAATCTATGGATATTTTTGTCGGTGAAATTATTGGCAGGATAACTTATCGGGTACTCAGCGGTGTCGATAAGGCAGTTTTCTGCCAGATATTTATGGCGCAAAAACAGTGTATACAACACCTAATATTATTTATCCTCCCGATAAGTTTATCTGTTAGTTATTAGGTAGATTTATCTCTCTAACACCTTTTAAAAAGCTTGTAGGTAATTTTTATGATGATGTTTTCATGGATGAAACAAATAGTTAAGGTACAAATTGCAACTTTTGAACTAAAAGAAGTAATTTTTTGTAATAAAGGGTAATTTAAAGATTAATTTGACACCATTTCAAACATATATCGTTTATTAATATAACATTAAAACAAATTTACCTACAATCAATTAATCCTACTAATATTTACACCAATTTTAACCAATAATTCTATGTATAAAATTATATGACTCTTGTTTTAAAATCATTAAAAATCACAATCGTTAGTAATTCAAGTTGAATTGGGCTAAGAACTTTGTAATTAAATAAGTTGATAGAAAGAAACATTAGAAATTACAACCTGGTTTATTTAACTTTAAACCAATAAGAAAAAAAAATTTTACTTATTTATTTTGATGGATTTTAAGCAAGGGCGGAAGCCGGTAATGAACTATGTTTCGGTTTCATTTTGTTTATAAATATTTTAATACATCCGTTATAATCAGCTGAAACTAAAACATAACCCCCACATCCTTTTGTGCGTTGTTCAACAACAGGATCGTTTACTTTTTCATTGTTTGAATTTTCTTCGTTTTGATTTTTCTCTTCATCAATCATTTTGATGATCGCATCGGGATTAGGTGCAAAAATTGCGCAAGTCACCACAGCATTGTGCGCTTTAATCGCTTCCCAAAAATCGTTTCGATCTCTTCTCACCGAAGAGAATTTAGAATAATCATGATTAGTTCTCCAAATATAAATATCTCGATTTTCTGATCCGCTTACGATGTATTTCCCATCGTGACTAAAACTGGCTTTAATTTGACTACTAACGTTTGCGTAACCTTTATATTTACACGATAAATTTAAATCGCGTAAATCGTAAAGTCTTATCCGACTATCGTTGGATGTAATTAAAATTTTATCTTCCCCAGGCATCGATTCAATCCCGCTAATTTTTCGACCTGTTGAATTACGCCCCCGACTCGATTTTACGTGAATTTGAGTGTGATATTTTAAATGTTCCGTTGTGTAAAAGATACATCGACCATCGTATGATCCAATTACAGCAAATTTTCCATTTTGGCAGAAATTTGCTGCTGTTATCAATTTTGGATTACCTTCAACTTCGGTCCAAACGGCTACTTTTTTATCTGGAATATTCCACAGACGGATTTTCCCATCTAAAGAACCACTCAAAAAATATCGATCATCTCTCGGATGAAAAACGATCGCGGTTACAAAATCAATATGTTGGAAGCAACAAAGACACTCTTTACGAGATATGTGCCATAACCTGACGGTTTTATCCATGGATGATGATAAAATGAAATAATTTTTGGACCAAGAAACGTCTAATAAATCGGAAGTATGTCCGGTGTAGGTACAAAATGGTTTTGGCATAAAAATTAATTTATTTGCTTCGTCGGAATTTAAAGCATCCAAAGCTGCTAATCCGGAATTATCTGAAGAATGATGGGAGACTAAAGATTCTTGTGATGGTGTTGGAGAAACTTTTTCTGCGTTATATTTTGTACGCATATCCTTTAAATTTAAATAGGAAATTAATTAGGAAATTAATAAGGTTAGGGAGTAACTTACTTGAAAATAAGTAAAAGCACTTTTAATAACAAAAATCCTTAAAACTTTATCTTGCCCAGCCGTAGCTAAAAGTCTCCCACATTGAGAGAATTTCATGCACCAAATTGGACCTTCATGTTCGTTAAATTCTTGAACATGTTGGATCTTTTCGAATTCATATGGTCCTTTATGAGAATTTGACGCTTTTAATTTAATGTTTTGTTCCCCTGGGTGAACCTCATCCACCAAATCAACAACATCTTCTTTATGGCGAGCGTGAGACACCTCTTGGGCGATACTTTTTGCTTTATCAACAGTTTTACGAACTGTAGAACCCAAAAATCTTTTAATCCTTTCGGTTCTTCTACGAACTTTACCTAAAAAAATTTTTTTTGATTCATTAATTTTTTTGAATTAATTAATTTAATTACCAATTTCAACATCGTTATAATCACCTAACGGAACTGTTTGTTTACTAGAAACCGATTCCTCGTCGGATTCCTTTTCTTTTTCCATACTTGAACTGCTTACATACTCAGATGTTAACCTCATTATGTGTAAAGATAGGGGGTTTATGCATTGTGGTAGTTTATCTTCGGCTACGCTTAAAGGGATTCGTTCTCCGGTGTCTAGGTTTAAAACGGTAACTTGTTCAAGAATTTCAAGGTCGGTTAATTGTTTTCCAGAATCAGTTCGGGTTCGAACGGATAAATTTATTTGTTTGAGCATGTTTTCATCTCCCGCCGATCGGCGGCGAACTTTTAAAGCGGGTTTTTTATTTGTTGTTCGATGTGGGCCCAAACTATAATGACCAATACTGCTTCGAGAAGCTGAACCTCGAGATGTTTTATTACTCTCTTCATTTTCCTTAAAATAATTTTATTTAAACTTTCGAGCGGGCGAACTCGATTTTATAACATTAGCGGGCGCGTGTCATAAATTTTATAACATAATTAATTTTTATTTGTAATTCTGCATCCTTCCATAGAAGTCCTCAACTAAGTAAAGTTCAATTTCTTTTGAAATATTTTTCTCTCCAGTTTCCTTAACCTCAATGGTAAAGCATTACACAGTGCGCGTCATATGTAATTTCTTTTTCACAAAATATACTTAGAATTGCAGTAAAAAACAAAACATTTATAATATAAATTAAATATTATTAATATAAACTTATTGTGGTTAAATATTAATTGCAATCTAATAAAAGATCTTTTTTTTGTCCTTTCGAACATTTTTTTTTCATTTTTTTCATCAATTTTGGATATCTTACAAGAAAGTGGCGTATACCAAATAGAATGTAATAGTTGTCAAGCCACATATGTCGGAGAGACCGGACGTAATTTCAAAACTAGAATCAAAGAACATCTAACAAAAGAAAATTCAGCATTTGGAAGACACATAAATTTTAATAATCACGATTTCGATATAGAGAAAAGAAAATGTATTCTTTAGGTTATATGATAAACATAAAGATTTACTTTTAAAATTAATATGAATACGTCTACTATATACGATATAACCACGAAATAGTATAAGGAGATAAAACGAGCGTACAAAAGTGGTGGGGGATTTGCTCCAAAATAGGGCGAACTTAATTCACAGTTATATCTTGTGGCTCTGACGACAGCGTCCCTTGTGTTTAAACTGCAAACTAAAATTAAATATACTTTTTAGGTTATAGTTGACAGATTTTTAGTTCTGACAGATCAGCTGATTTTAGCTGGACCAATTCTATCTTATAGGAGTAATAAAAATTATAATAATATTGATTAATATTATTATAATTAATTATTATCTAATATTGAGTTGTAAAAATGATGTGTAATAATGATTAATGTAATGGACCGCAACAGAAAATATAACCGACCTAACCTAAACAGATTAATTTTGTTGAATTTTGCTGTCGTCAGAGCCACAAGGTAAACCTCTGAATTAGATTCGCCCTATTGTGGAACACAGTCGCCTATTGCCGTTTTATCTCCTTCTACTACTTCGTGGATATAACCTCTAAAAATACACAGCAAACTCATAGAACTCAATGACAGTTAACTGGGCGTGACAAATAATGTGACGTAGAGTGCGGGCAACCAACCCATATTAGGCTACAAAACAACAATGGATGTAGCAGTCCTGTTAGATTCTATTGTCCTTGGTTTGGAATTATAGTAAGAAGTACTGTCATTGTTGATTTTTTCTGTTGGTATCCGTGTTGATACTTTGTTATTAATTTCTTTTGCGTTATATGTTTTATGATTGTTTTTTATTATAGTTTCGAAAACTTTCTCCTCTTAAGCATTTGTTTAATAATATACATAATTGTTGGTTCTATGTTTGAATTAGTTTCATCTTTAGTCTTATTCAAGTTTTTGATTATCTTTTCCACTTATTTCTCCAATTTCTTCTAGTTGCATTCCTTCTTCTTCTTCAGTTTGCTCAAGCCCAATAGGATTTTTTATTTTCATATTGATAGTTTGAGTTTTATCACTGTTTTTACAAAAAATTGAATTAGGTCATTTGCGTCCATAAGAGAATTATTTTCTTTCTTACGCCTTGTTTTTTCAGTTTCTTGCTTCACTATATTCCAGGCAGCAGTTATTTTATTTTCTGAATTCATCATAAATTGTTTATAAGCTCTTTTTTATTTTATCTAACAGTCTTCTAAGCTCACGTTTTTTCTTATTTGATACAATTCTTTGTATTTCTTTCGTTATTTCAGCTATCGTGTAGACAGCATCTAAAGTGTTTTTCATCTTTCTTAGATCATCTGAATTCATTTTAGTATTGATAGTTAGTAGTTAATTATTCGGTGAAATAAATTTTGTGTTTTAATTTTTTATTATTGCCCAATCACTACTTCTTAATTTACTTATGAAATGTTCTACTATTGTTCCATTATTTATTAGTTTTATTTTTGTATGTTTGTATTCAAGAATAATTGTTATCAACTGTGTTAAATGTTTCTTGTAAGTAAATGATAAACATTTTGTACATATTTTCTCTATTACACATAAATGGCAAGTTCCGCATTTCGCTGAGCGTTGTTCGCTAGTATCCTTTTCTGCTACTGATTGGGAGTAATTGCATTTTAAAAATACTGCTATATCCGCTCGTAGTGTCTTATTGGAAGCTCTATAGTGTAAATAAGGTTTCATCAAACTAAAGGAGATGCTTTTTAAAAAATCTATAGCAGTTTGCTACATTTGTTTGTGAAAACGCATATAAAACATATTTATGTCAGCAATATTTAACAAATTAAAAAAGATCACACATGGTCTATCCAAAGTGTCAACAACACTTTTTGTCGATTTATAATCTATTATTATTTCTGGCTACATTGATTTTTTCATCATCGCGCATCGTGGAAAGGCTTCATTTTTGTGTAGTACATAAGAAATCGACATTTTATTTGTTTGAAATCGAAATAATGTCGAATGAACGACTTTTATTTGATAAGAATTCTTCTATAGTAGATAATCTGCTAGAGCAATGGTAGTATTGTAGCTGTATTTCTAAGTTGAATGTATAAAAGATTTTAAAAATGTCGTAAAATTGAAAAAAATTCGAAAAATATTTGAATATTTCTATAAATTCTCTTTTTGCCATAAAGACAACATTTTTTTTTTAATTAATACTTTTGCGTTATATCCTTTTAAATGTATATAAATATTATAAAAACGAAAATTGTCATAAATTTTATAACAGCGCGCCCGCTCGAAAGTTAAAAAAGATATTTTTACCTGTACATAATCATTTTGTGCTTTAACCACAAATTGTCCCTTTGAAATTTGTTTAATATCCAACGAATATCCCGATTTAATCGAAGCCGATTTCGATTTATTTTCAGATAAATCCGATTGACTTTTCGGTATAACTTTCCCTTTATCTAATGAGCATTCAAACTCTTTCGTTAACGACTCAATCGTACTCGTTGGACTTGAAAGTGCTTGTTGAACAACCGAAAATGAATCGGCTGATAAAGACGGGGTTAAACTTTGACTTGATCCGACCCGCTTTAATTTCTTCTTACGCCTCGGTGGTGCTATGGGGACATCTTTCGAACGTTGTTGTTCGTTTTCTTCGGCTATTTTCGAACAACTTGCTTTCGTGCTTGCTATAACATCCGGCTCTTGTAACGGAAGACATTCTTTTTGCTTTATTATTGGTACCACTTCAACGTTAGTCGATAAAGTTATAGTACTTGGATATTCAGAGGTATTTTTCGAACTGGTTGTGGAAGAATCGTGGGAACTGTTTGATAAAGCGGAAGCTGAAGCTGTGCGTTTTGTTTCTGATATGATTGATCCTAAAACATTTTTTTTTAATTCAGGAATCATCATGTGACTTAAAAAACGATGATTTTTTTTTAATCAATGTAATCAAAAAACGTGTTAAAAATAACAAGAAAGTGCGAAAAAGTGTAGAACAAGGATTATAAAAATTGCTGGAATGAAGACTCGGAATATTTCAAGAAAAATGTCAAGAATACACAATAATAGAGACATTTTAATATCTTCAGACCCAATTATAACATCATTTCAAAGCAAGAAATCAAGGAATAATGCAGATTTTCCTGAAGAACTTATAAGCCTTATCTGCTTTGAAAATGATGAAGAAAGAAATGATTTTTTATCGTCAATTGCAACTAATATTGATATTGTAGAACATAGTGAAGACGAAGAAAAATAAATATAGGAATAAAAAAATCATTACATTATTAAACATTTGTCACAAATTAACACAGAAACAGAGAATTGCGTTAATATTTTTTAACTGCTATTTTTTCAAAGACAGCTACATGAAAAATACTCAGAATTTGCGTAGAATCCATAAATGCAACAAAAAATTGGGGGTTCCTATCTTAAAATGTCAACTTAGGAATAGTATTTCAATTTTATTCAAAAAATGCATGGTAAAAAATATAACAGAAGCCTTTATGTACAGGTTGGTTCAAAAATTCGATGTTACGTAGTCAAAAAAAAATTTTCGGTTTTATATTTTGAGATATTATGACAATTTTCGTTTGTTAAATGGAAACAACCACTGATTATTCGCTTATTAAATTCGTTATTTTTTTCTGATTACAAAAATATGGGGTTAGATAGGTCTATTTCTTATTGTTTTCATATAATATAACAAGTAGGCTGAGATTTAATGCGCATGCGCACTTTTTATGGGCGCCATTTTTCTCGGTTTGATACATTTGACGCATTGTTGTTAATAATTGATGCCATTATTGAAATAATTATCTTGGGTCAATAAAAAGAAGGAAAGTTTGAGAAAAATATTTACCGCAAAAGATGAACATTGGATTTTACGAAAAGTTAAAGCTGATCCTAAAATTAGTGCGCCAAAACTAGCAGCAGTGGTTGAAAATTATTTAGGGAAAATAGCAAGTCCAGAAACAATTCGCATTATTTTAAGGAAACATAATTTTCATGGCAGAGTAGCCAGGAAAAAGCCTTTCATAAGTAGCGTTAATCGTGCTAAAAAGTTAAATTTTGTTAAAACATACCAAAACAAAAGTAATGACTTTTGGAAAACAGTCATATTTTCAGACGAGAGTAAATTTAATATTTTTGGTCCTGATGGACGAACTATGGTATGGAGAAAACCAAACGAAGAGTTAAAACCTAAAAATGTATGATCAACTGTAAAACATGAGGGAGGTTCTGTGTTAGTTTGCAAGTGCGGAAAAGTTAGGAATTTTGGATCAATTTAGCTTTTATCAAGATAATGATCCTAAGCATAAAGCTTATAATGTGAGGTCTTGGCTACTTTATAAGTGTCCCCATGTTCTTGAAACACCACCCCAGTCTCCAGACATAAATGTTACCGAAAACTTATGGGATTACTTGGATAAACATGTCCGCAAATGCAAAATTTCCAATAAGAATTCTTTAAAAGAAGCTCTTTTAAATGCCTGGAACTCTATAACCCCTGAGTACTGTGCAAATTTAATAAATTCTATGCCAAGAAGATTGAAAGATGTAAAGAACAACGATGGTTATTCTACTAAATATTAATTTACTTTGATGTTTATGTTTAAGATCGTTTTTGTAGTTATTTTTCTTATTGTATGAGTTTCGATTTGAGGTTTATTTTGTTAGATGAATTAAAACATATAATTTCAAAACTTAAAAGGTTGTTTGATCAGTTCTTTTATATTTTGGTTAAAAAAAGTAGGGTTTAATAAATAAATAAATCTGACTGCAAACAATTAAAAAAGATAATATAAACGATTTTATACGTCCAGGCTAATACATTCCAGAAGTGTATGAGTTTCGCTTTGACTCACTGTAGTTTTTTTCTAACTCTTATAGTTTCTGAGATAGCCTATTTGGACATCGAATTTGAACCATCCTGTACATGAGATGATTAAGCTTGATGAGATGAACTTTAACCTCAACTGCAATATGCATACATATAATACAAGAACTAACCAAAATATTCACATCTTGCCCCTCGCAAGAAACATTGGGAGAAGAAGTGTTACATCAGCAGGGGCGGAGTGGTTTAATGATTTACTAGAACGGGTTAAGAATCAGAATGGTCCAGACTCCTTTGCAGGAGAAGCAAGGACTTATTACCTTAATCTTAGGTTAAACTGATTTCGAAATGTATCTTCTTGTGTTGTTGTTATATTTCAGTGTTTATATATCTGTTATGTCTTTTTGGGAATAAACAATAAATTAAATTAAATAAAAAAACATCCTGAAGATATAGATGAAATAAATCCTAGCTAACAATTAAAGAGATATTATAATGGTATTAAACATTTTCTTCATCATTTAGTAGTAATTAAATTTTTGTCCTAACTCCTAACAATATGGCGTCCATGACGTCACAAAAAGTGACGTCACGTCGAAACTTTAAAGCGATTTTTCGGTAAATTTTACACTTTTCCGCATTTTTTTTAATTTCTAACAGCTTATTTGAGTCATTTCCCATCGATTACAAAAAAATTGTCGATTTTTAAGCGACACCTTCTTGCATTACACCTTTTTAATCAAATTTTATTATTATGATTTTCTTACCATCAGGAATATTAGGGATTCTTCCAGCTCGTAATAAAGAGTTATAACTTTGTAAACTAACAGTATCATGTTCAATAACCCTAAAAGGGTGTGAAGTTTTAGTTCCAGAAGCGTAAACACCTTCAATGGAAGAGGTTGAATTTGGAGGTGTGTTATTGGTAACAACTACATCTTCATCATCAGTTAATTTTTGCCTGATTTCTTTAAATTTCTTTCGCCCACCTTGCAATAATACCAAAGGGGGTTGGAAATTAAAACTATCCTGTTTCTCGATTTCTATGATTTTATCCTTTTCACCATCATCTTCGGATACAATAGGGATCGATTTCTTTTCTGTTTCTTTGGATGGTTTACGGCTTTTTCTGGAAAAAGATTTTTTTAAATTAGATGTTTAATAATCAGGTGTTGCCTTGAGCTGTCAAATGTTTTTTCAATTGTTGATACATAAAAGACAGACAGCAATTGAAAGATAAAGTGTGATTTTCGTGCTTTTATGAAGGCCCCAGTGAAGGTAAGTTTGTTGTATTGAAATTATAAATTTTTACTCGCCTAGTCCCGTGTATTGGGGTGTTATCTTCCGCGTCGTAGAATTCCTCCGTATCGCTACTTTCCGACATCGCCCAATTTTAAATTAACGACGTTTATTTAAATCTTTCGTGTATACATTCGCCCCAAAATGTATTTTCAATTAAATTGGTAAATAAACGTTTTTTGTGGGATGAGATGCCATAGCTGTCAAAATTTACAACGTTTACCCCCCCACGCATAGAGTTTAATCAAAAGTGGATTAAAAATTGCGCGGGGGGGAATAAAGTTAGATTAAATATAATTAAAATTAACGTTTTTTTTAATTATATTTTTTTGTATTAAATGAATTGTTTTAATTAAAAAATTCTGAACGTATCAATTTTAGTTCAACTTTTTCATTATAGATGTCGTTNTCGTTTTTGTAGTTATTTTTCTTATTGTATGAGTTTCGATTTGAGGTTTATTTTGTTAGATGAATTAAAACATATAATTTCAAAACTTAAAAGGTTGTTTGATCAGTTCTTTTATATTTTGGTTAAAAAAAGTAGGGTTTAATAAATAAATAAATCTGACTGCAAACAATTAAAAAAGATAATATAAACGATTTTATACGTCCAGGCTAATACATTCCAGAAGTGTATGAGTTTCGCTTTGACTCACTGTAGTTTTTTTCTAACTCTTATAGTTTCTGAGATAGCCTATTTGGACATCGAATTTGAACCATCCTGTACATGAGATGATTAAGCTTGATGAGATGAACTTTAACCTCAACTGCAATATGCATACATATAATACAAGAACTAACCAAAATATTCACATCTTGCCCCTCGCAAGAAACATTGGGAGAAGAAGTGTTACATCAGCAGGGGCGGAGTGGTTTAATGATTTACTAGAACGGGTTAAGAATCAGAATGGTCCAGACTCCTTTGCAGGAGAAGCAAGGACTTATTACCTTAATCTTAGGTTAAACTGATTTCGAAATGTATCTTCTTGTGTTGTTGTTATATTTCAGTGTTTATATATCTGTTATGTCTTTTTGGGAATAAACAATAAATTAAATTAAATAAAAAAACATCCTGAAGATATAGATGAAATAAATCCTAGCTAACAATTAAAGAGATATTATAATGGTATTAAACATTTTCTTCATCATTTAGTAGTAATTAAATTTTTGTCCTAACTCCTAACAATATGGCGTCCATGACGTCACAAAAAGTGACGTCACGTCGAAACTTTAAAGCGATTTTTCGGTAAATTTTACACTTTTCCGCATTTTTTTTAATTTCTAACAGCTTATTTGAGTCATTTCCCATCGATTACAAAAAAATTGTCGATTTTTAAGCGACACCTTCTTGCATTACACCTTTTTAATCAAATTTTATTATTATGATTTTCTTACCATCAGGAATATTAGGGATTCTTCCAGCTCGTAATAAAGAGTTATAACTTTGTAAACTAACAGTATCATGTTCAATAACCCTAAAAGGGTGTGAAGTTTTAGTTCCAGAAGCGTAAACACCTTCAATGGAAGAGGTTGAATTTGGAGGTGTGTTATTGGTAACAACTACATCTTCATCATCAGTTAATTTTTGCCTGATTTCTTTAAATTTCTTTCGCCCACCTTGCAATAATACCAAAGGGGGTTGGAAATTAAAACTATCCTGTTTCTCGATTTCTATGATTTTATCCTTTTCACCATCATCTTCGGATACAATAGGGATCGATTTCTTTTCTGTTTCTTTGGATGGTTTACGGCTTTTTCTGGAAAAAGATTTTTTTAAATTAGATGTTTAATAATCAGGTGTTGCCTTGAGCTGTCAAATGTTTTTTCAATTGTTGATACATAAAAGACAGACAGCAATTGAAAGATAAAGTGTGATTTTCGTGCTTTTATGAAGGCCCCAGTGAAGGTAAGTTTGTTGTATTGAAATTATAAATTTTTACTCGCCTAGTCCCGTGTATTGGGGTGTTATCTTCCGCGTCGTAGAATTCCTCCGTATCGCTACTTTCCGACATCGCCCAATTTTAAATTAACGACGTTTATTTAAATCTTTCGTGTATACATTCGCCCCAAAATGTATTTTCAATTAAATTGGTAAATAAACGTTTTTTGTGGGATGAGATGCCATAGCTGTCAAAATTTACAACGTTTACCCCCCCACGCATAGAGTTTAATCAAAAGTGGATTAAAAATTGCGCGGGGGGGAATAAAGTTAGATTAAATATAATTAAAATTAACGTTTTTTTTAATTATATTTTTTTGTATTAAATGAATTGTTTTAATTAAAAAATTCTGAACGTATCAATTTTAGTTCAACTTTTTCATTATAGATGTCGTTAATTTAAATTTTTTTTTTAATTTTAAATAATATCGTTTTAACTGGTGTTAATTAAAAGTTAAAATCGATTTTGATTAATTTTAATTTATTTTATTTAATTATTTTAATTAATTCATTATTTAATTTAAAAAAAAATAAATTCTTCCATATCTGAACGTATTCGGATTACAAGAAAACCTTTCACACAACAATCTATTACAAGTAACTCTATCTTTATTCCTCGCGATAAATCCGCATCTTCTATTTCACTTTTTAATAATTTGGTTCAATTTTCTCTCGATAGAGGCAGAGCGTTACCACTCGTCCCCAACTGAACGCTGTTTCCTCACCGAACTCCAAGTACCAAAGCAACATGGAGGATTTGGTAGTTGAAGTGAGCGGCGAAAATGGTGCCCTTTATAAGGTTCGTACCATCTAAAGTATGTCTTAAAACGTTTCGTTTCGTTGCGATTCCGTTTCGTAACGTAACGACGAACGTTTCCCATGGGTTAATTCCGTTTTCCAATTGGTACTTTGACCGGATTTTCGTCGCGACACTGTCGTCGTCGATTCGCGAAACGCGGTTTTCTTTTCTGACGCCATGGCGCTTGACATGGGGCGTGTGATTTCGGTCCCCCCGATATATCCCCAAAAAATCGCCACGTTAAACCTCTAGAATTAGATATTCGAATCGTTTTCTAAGTTATTTATAGGCCGTTGTCGTCTCAAATATCCGTTATTATTCCGGCACACCACCGCGGATGAAAAACGGTTATTTAGGTTAGGAAATTTGGTCTTGCCGCGTTCGTATCGCGTTACTAATTCTGTTTGATACGTTTTTTTTGCTTTATTTTTATAGGGCTACGTTTTGGACGTTTTTGAAGAGGAGGTGTTAGTACATTTTGAAGATGAGTAAGTTGTCGGTGTAGATTTTGTGGTAAACTTTGATTTAATGCGATTTTGGTTATTTCAGATGGCAGCCTGACTCGAATTTTCCTTACTCTAGGCTGCGATTTCCACCTAAACCTGATCCTAAGGCGGAATTTGTTGAGAATCAAGAGGTGGAGGTTTATTCTAGGTCAAATATGCAAGAAGCTAATGGATGGTGGAAATGTCGAATTAAGGTATTCATTTAATTTAAACTAGAAAAATGGGTTGGGTTTGATGTTTTAAAATGAGATAGATTTAGGGGAATCCCATTAGATTAAATTATACTTAGTCATAGATAATAAATTTAATAATATTTCAACAAATTGTGTTTTATCTTAATTTTTTTTGTTTTGCAGATGATGAAAGGGGATTTTTACGTATTAGAATATACCGGCTGGGATAATTCATATAACGAAATTGTCAGTAGTGATAGGATTCGGCATAAAAACAATAATCCTCCATTGGACAGGACCATGTTCTATAAATTTGAGATCGAAGTTCCTGAAGATGTTAGAGAATAGTAAGATCATATATACATTATTGCTCATAAAGGATTAACTTGCAGATCAAGTTTATTTATATCTTAATATGTTACAGTATAACCTCAATATAAAGGACCATTAGTATTATCTAATTGATACATCAGTATATTTAAATATAAATTTTAACACTCACTCTATGTATAGAGCATTCATGTAGTTCAGTGGTTCCCAAACTTTATTATGGCATCATATAATGCTCAGCCCTCCCTGACAATGTAGAGAAAATGATAACTGGTACTTTCTTTAACTTATTCCAATTTATTTAACAAAAAAATATTAAATCATTAATGTGAAGGGTGGTGCTGAATTTCTTCCATAAGATGGGAAATTCTGGGTTGTATTTTTTAAGTTTAGTCTTAATGTCCATTAAAATAGAAAACTATTTAAAATTTCAAAGCTATTTCAGCAATTAATGGATATTTATGATAGCATTTTATCCAAAAAGTTGTAATTTCCATATTTTCAATCATCTTTTGCTGCTGAAGGTTGCTTATGGAAATTCTGGCTTGTATTTTTAAGTTGTTTAGTCTTATTGTCCATTAAAATAGAAAACTATTTAAAATTTCAAAACTATTTCAGCAATTAATGGATATTTATAATAGCATTTTATCCAAAAAGTTGTAATTTCCATATTTTCAAAGTCATCTTTGGTGCTGAAGGTTGTTTATGGAAATTCTGGGTTGTATTTTTTAAGTTGTTTAGTCTTAATGTCCATTAAAATAGAAAACTATGTAAAATTTTACAGCTATTTCCGCGATTTATGGATAGTTATGATCAAGGACAGTAGAATCTAACAGGACTGCTACATCCATTGTTGTGACAACCTGCCCGCAAACTACGTCACACCATTTTCCACGCCCAGCTGTTGTTATGGTCTATGCGTTTGCTGTGTATTTTTAGAGGTTATATTCTAGACGTATTCATATTATTTTTGAAGTTTTATGTTTTTAGACGTATTAATGTCTATCATATAACCTCTAAAAACGCAGACAGTTACCAGGCGTGGCAAATAGTGTGACGTAGAGTGCGGGCAACCAATCCCTAGTGGACTACAAAAATACAATGGATGTAGCAGTCCTCTTAGATTCTACTGTCCTTGAGTTATGATAACATTTTATCAAAAAGTTGTAATTTCCATATTTTCAAATTCATCTTTTGCTGCTGAAGGTTGTTTATGGAAATTCTGGGTTGTATTTTTAAGTTATTTAGTCTTAATTTCCATTAAAATAGAAAACTATGTAAATTTTCAAAGCTATTTTCGCGATTAATGGATAGTTATGATAACATTTTATCCAAAAAGTTGTAATTTCCATGTTTTCAAAGTCATCTTTTGGTGCTGAAGGTTGTTTATGGAAATTCTGGGTTGTATTTTTTAAGTTTAGTCTTAATGTCCATTAAAATAGAAAACTAATTAAAAGTTCAAAGCTATTTCTGCAATTAATGGATATTTATGATAGCATTTTATCCAAAAAGTTGTAATTTCCATATTTTCAAAGTCATCTTTTGCTGCTGAAGGTTGCTTGTGGAAATTCTGACTTGTATTTTTACGTTGTTTAGTCTTAATGTCCATTAAAATAGAAAACTATGTAAAATTTCAAAGGTATTTCCGCGATTAATGGATAGTTTTGATAATATTTTATCCAAAAAGTTGTAATTTCCATATTTTCAAAGTCACCTTTTGCTGCTGAAGGTTGTTTATGGAAATTCTAGGTTGTATTTTTTAACTTGTTCAGTCTTAATGTCCATTAAAATAGAAAACTATGTAAAATTTCAAAGCTATTTCCGCGATTAATAGATAGTTATGATAACATTTTATCCAAAAAGTTTAATTACCATATTTTCAGTCATCTTTTGCTGCTGAAAGTTGTTTATGGAAATTCTGGGTTATATTTTTTAAGCTGTTTAGTGTTCATGTCCATTAAAATAGAAAACTATGTAAAATTTCAAATCTTTCCGCGATTAATGGATAGTTATGATAACATTTTATCGAAAAAGACGCAATTTCCATATTTTCAAAATCATCTTTTGCTGCTGAAGGTTGTTTATGGAAATTCTGGATTGTATTTTTTAAGTTGTTTAGTCTTAATGTCCATTAAAATAGAAAACTATCTAAAATTTCAAAGCTATTTCCGCGATTCATGGATAGTTATGATACCATTTTATCCAAAAAGTTGTAATTTCCATATTTTCAAAGTCATCTTTTGCTGTTGAAGGTTGTTCATGGAAATTCTGGATTGTAATTTTTAAGTTGTTTAGTCTTAATGTCCATTAAATAGAAAACTATGTAAAATTTTAAAGCCATTTCCGCGATTAATGGATATTTATGATAGCATTTTATCCAATAAGTTGTAATTTCCATATTTTCAAAATCATCTTTTGCTGCTGAAGGTTGTTTATGGAAATTCTGGGTTGTATTTTTTAACTTGTTTAGTCTTAATGTCCATTAAAACAGAAAACTATTTAAAATTTCAAAACTATTTCCGCGATTAATGGATAATTATGATAGCATTTTATTCAAAAAGTTGTAATTTCCATATTTTCAAAGTCATCTTTTGCTGCTGAAGGTTGTTTATGGAAATTCTGGGTTGTATTTTTCAAGTTGTTTAGTCTTAATGTCCATTAAAATAGAAAACTATGTACAATTTCAAAGCTATTTCCGCAATTAATAGATAGTTATGATAACATTTTATCCAAGAAGACGTCATTTCTATATTTTCAAAGTCATCTTTTGCTGCTGAAGGTTGCTTATGGAAATTCTGCGTTGTATTTTTTAAGTTGTTTAGTCTTAATGTCCATTAAAATAGAAAACTATGTACAATTTCAAAGCTATTTCCGCGATTAATGGATAGTTATGATAGCATTTTATCCAAAAACTTGTAATTTCCATATTTTCAAAGTCATTTTTTGCTGCTGAAGGTTGTTTATGGAAATTCTGGGTTGTATTTTTTAAGTTTAGTCTTAATGTCCATTAAAATAGAAAACTATGTAAAATTTCAAAGCTATTTCCGCGATTAATGGATAGTTATGATAGTATTTTATCCAAAAAGTTGTAATTTCCATATTTTCAAAGTCACCTTTTGTTGCTGAAGCTTGTTTAAGAAAATCTGGGTTGTATTTTTTAAGTTGTTTAGTCTTAATGTCCATTAAAATAGAAAACTATGTAAAATTTCAAAGCTATTTCCGCCATTAATGGATAGTTATCATAGCATTTTATCCAAAAATTTGTAATTTCCATATTTTCAAAGTCAGCTTTTGCTGCTGAAAGTTGTTTATGGAAATTCTGGGTTGTATTTTTTAAGTTGTTTAATCTTAATGTCCATTAAAATCGAAAACTATGTAAAATTTCAAAGCTATTTCCGCGATTAATGAATAGTTGTGATAACATTTTATCCAAAAAGTTGTAATTTCCATATGGGACATTCCCTTTCTAAATGGGAGATAATATCTTTAGTGATTCTTACATTTTCAACAATGTTAGGAAACACTTCTGAGTCCATTAATGATGCAAATTTCGGAAATGATGAAAAATTAGGTACGTCAGCTTGCAGACACAAAACAATTTTTTTTAAAAATGCTTGAATAACATCATGATGGGCAATTATGTTTGCTGAAATGTTGCCTTGCACCTTCAAATTAAACATGTTTAATACCTCGAAAATATCAGTTAGATAAGCCAATTTAATTTGAAAAGTTTGATTAGCAAATGCGTCAAATAATACATGTTTTTTATTCTGTTTGAGAAACTGCTGTACATTCTCTTACATTAATAGGGGAATCACCGACTTTAAAACGAATTACAACTTTTTTAATTGTTTTTATGGTAACTAAACATCGTTAAAAAACATAATTTTTATCCAGTAATAAGATTTTTTGCTGTATTTTTACGGGCCCCCATTAACGTTACGTCAGGCCCCAAAATTTGGGAATCACTGATCTAGCTGCTCTATTCTATGTCCATAGATAAACTCGGGGTTTTCCCTGAGTTGTCTATATGATGTATAAATCAAGGACTGTAGTTCTAGTTTCAATTTTTATTCAACATTAGATTGTTGTGTATTTTTATTGAACTAACACTAGAACTAGAAACTTTTGGGTTTAGCTGTACGTCTCAAAAGATGGCTAAACCCGAATGTTTTCTAGTTCTAGATCTTGTGTTAGTTCTAATGATAGTGAAAGTATTACTTCAAAGTATTATTCCAGCTATTAGAACTAATCCTAGCACTATCACTAGAACCATTATTAAATTTAGAACTAGAAAAATAAATATTAAACTTTGATGTTAAAATGTCAAAATTGATGAATATCAAAACTCTGATCCACAGACACAAAACCAAGATTATTCTAGCCATCCCACTGAAATCAGGCTCAATACAAATCACATAAGCTAAATCGATTCCAAACTAGTTCCAACCTAAATTAAGAAAATCAAATAGACCTTCTACAAACAGAGTCTAGTCGTCTATCCTTATTTTATAGTCTAACCACTAATATTTACTCTTATGCCAACAGTATCTAGTCTTCTATCAACGTTATTTACTCTTCTGTTGGCAGTATCTAGTTTCTGCCACTACTATTTCATCTTCTGTCTGCAGTATTGAAATGTCAAAATTGATGAATATCAAAACTCTGATCCATAGACACAAAACCAAGATTATTCTAGCCATCCACACCGAAGTCAGGCTCAATACAAATCACATAAGCCAGATCGATTCCAAACTAGTTCCAACCTAAATTAAGAAAATCAAATAGACCTTCTACAAACAGAGTCTAGTCGTCTATTCTTATTTTATAGTCTAACCACTAATATTTACTCTTGTGCCAACAGTACCTAGTCTTCTATCAACGTTATTTACTCTTCTGTTGGCAGTATCTAGTTTCTGCCACTACTATTTCATCTTCTGTCTGCGCGATTGCTATTTAATCTTCTATCAGCAGTATTTAGTCTCTTTTATCACTATTTAGCCTTCTGTCAGCAATATTTAGCTGCTGTTAGGATTGTTTAGTCTTCTATCAGCAATAACTAATCTTTGCCACTATTATTTAGTTAGACAATAAAATGACCATATACAAAGTGATATCTTTTATTTATTTTTATCTTAACCGGTTTCGGTAATTAAATTACCATCTTCAGAAGACACCTACATATTAAAAGGTTTAGACGTTAAAATAGAAAATTCCTTATTTAGTTTGTAACTTACGTCAAATTATTACTTTAAAAGTTAAAACAATTACCATACATCTTTATACGAACACAATGACGTAACATCTTATTTCTTAAAATAAAATAACACAAGTAGTATTTCTAGAATATATAAACTTGTTTTTCAAGTAGAATATAGAAAAGTCTTGAGAGACGAATGGCTCTTGTATATTTTTCTTCAACTAAAAGTAGAACTAACAGTAGACATAGAACTAGAAAAATTCGGGTTTCTAGTTCTGGGTCTAGTGTTAGTTCAATAAAAATATATATCTACCTGACGCTGAATAATAATTAAAACTTGAGCTGGAACTAGAACTAACACTGGACCTAGAACTAGAATCATTCAGGTTTAGCTATCATTAGAGACATTCTGCTAAACCTGAATATTTCTAGTTTATTGCTAATTTTAGTTCTATTTTTACTTCTTATACAGAGTAAGTTAAAAAAAAATTTTTTATAACATACTTTTGGCTATAATAGACCGTTATATCGAGGTTTTACTATATTTTTATTAATATAACAAATCAATTTTGTCTATTAATACGTTTTAAAACTCATAGATGTTAATGATTAATTTTTTATTATAGTGCAAAAGTGGAGTCTACACATAAAGAACTGCAAAAAGCGATAGGCGCGGGCGTCATTCGTTACATAGCCGATCGAGGAGTTCTCTTGGTGATATCGAGGTGTGAATCAAGTAGAAAACGAGCCGCGATGCTCCAAGAGATGCACTTCCGAAGCCTACAGCAAAAAGTGCTCTTACTCAAGCGGACGGAAGAAGCCGCGAGGCAGCTGGAGAGCACGAAATTAGCCACCGTCGGAGGGTATGAAATTTCGATCATTTTATTTATTATTTTTTTCCAATTTTTTTATTCTTCGATTTCGGCCGATTTCCCCCCCTTTTTTTGCAATTCATTGTTATCCTTTTTAATTTTGTTCTTAATTTTTGTATAAAATTACTAATTTATTAAATTATTTAATATTTGTTTATCCTATTTTTTTTTTGTTTTTTTTTTTGTAAGTCACTAGCCAGAAAAGAGTCAATCGAACGAACGAGACGTGTTTTATTATTAAACTAGGGAGAGCGAAAATTTAAAAGTTTAAAAAAGCATACGTAATAATTAATAAGTTGATGAGAATATTTTGGTTTCAATCTATCGAGAACGTTCTCACCGTACTTTTGTCTCTCTTTCAGCAGATTTAAGCCTGTGTATCAGCGAGCCTCAAATTTTTCTCAAAGCGCAGGCCACAGGTGAGAAAGAAAGACCTGCATTTTAGCATGTTGTATTAAAATAAAATGGAATTATTAAACTATACAGTCTGTCCGGTAATGTTTAATTAATTTTTTTTGTTATAATTTGGACAAAAAAGAATTATTTTTTTTTTTTAATCTTTTTGGACAGCCTGTATAGGACATTACAGTAGAAAATACACCTTATTATTGTACCACCTGGCTCTTTGCTGGCTGTTGATATATTTAAGCGTTATAAACAACTTTTTTTATTTTTTCCTCCTTGTTCATTTATTTATATTATTTTATATATTAAAAATTATTTAATTAAATTTTTTCGAAAAGGTCGTTGCATGTTAAATTTTGCTTTTTAGAACTCAAAAATAAATAAATAAAGTAGTTTTCGTTTTTATTAAGCTGCTTTTAGTTATATTATTTTAATTTTATTCAGTTATTATGTTATTTTTAACAACAATTTACTAATTATTGAATTCCTTTTACAGATATTCAGACGAATTCATCGTAAGGGAAGATTTAATGGGTTTAGCGATTGGAGCGCATGGAGCTAATATTCAACAAGCCAGAAAAGTAGATGGCATCACGAACATTGAACTTGAAGAGAATTCGTGCACCTTTAAAATTTATGGCGAGGTAACTCTTAATTTTTTTAAAATTCAGCGTTAAATTTACCTCCTTTTTATTTTAGACTGATGAGGCTGTTAAAAAGGCGCGCTCAATGCTCGAATATAGCGAGGAATCACTCCAGGTGCCTAGAGCTCTTGTAGGAAAGGTCATTGGTAAAAATGGTAGGATTATTCAAGAAATTGTTGACAAAAGTGGCGTTGTAAGTATATAAGATTAAAAGAATAATCTTATTTTTTATATTTTATTTAATTTTAGGTGCGAGTTAAAATTGAAGGCGATAATGAACCTCAACCAACAATTCCTAGAGAGGAAGGTCAAGTGCCCTTTGTATTTGTTGGAACTGTTGAGAGTATAGCCAATGCTAAAGTTTTGTTAGAATATCATTTGGCTCATTTGAAGGTGAGAAAAATTAATAGGAGTGGATTCTTATTAAAAAAAAATGCTTTAAATCCACTAAATATTTCCTAAAAATTTATTGATAATAATCTCCTCAATACCAGTGGTTGGTGAAGATTGTTTTGTAAGGTTAAGTCCTTTGGAACTTCTCTAAAAATTTTGTCTTCTTAATAATAATTTTATTGAAATTTTCTTCACTCTAGCTATATTAATAGCAGTAGTGTTCTCTAGTACAGAAATAACATCAATAAGAAAAACAAATTGAAGAATAAAACAAGTGTAAACATTTCAGCATAATTATTAATATGGTTAATTTGAAGGCAGAAAATACATTAATAAAATTAGGGAATTGATATTCACGTTATTTCTCGAATATTTATTAATTAACGAATTTGCAGCAAACTTTTGTAGTGAAAAATTAAGTTATAAAAAATATAACGTCAATTTTTTTGAGAAAATAACCCAGGAGATAAAAAACGGAACAACCAAAGAATCTTTTATTGGATTAACAGACCCACAGCTCCTAATCTGATAAATTTTAAAAGTCGTCCTCACTAGAAGTTTCACTACCAGAAGATAACTTTCTGTTGCCTCATCAATTTGAACCTCGTTTTCTAAATAATTATTTTCAACTTTAACAACATTTTGACAACACTTCAACCAGTCTTCAAACTCTTCTGTCAGAGTTTCACAACGTTTAATTTAAATTCTCTTCGCTATTTTGTTTTTAACTTGAGCCCATATCATTTCAATTTGATTTAAATCAGGGTAGTAGGGGGGAAGCCTTAAAGCCATATGTCCATTTTCTTCTAACAGATGATCAAATTTGAAAACAATGTGTTGTTTTTTATGATATTTAATAATATCATATAGTTGTAGCTTATGCAAATTCGGCGAAAAATGTATAGGTTTTTATTTAGCAACGAGTCTGCCATATCTGCTTTTTTTGAGTTGCAAATAGGTGCTTTATGTACTTGTACATTATGATAGGGTGCATTGTCACTTATAACAACACAATTTGGTGGAAGATTTGATCATCCTTCTCTGTAAGCTAGTTCTCACAATTTACATCTTATTATCTTCTGCAATAAAAGTTTAATTTTTGTCATAGGCAGAGATCCATCTTCTATATGTTATGAAGAAAACACTCCGATTACAGTATCTAACCTTGCATTAGTATTTTCTTCTTATGCAAGCAACGTTAGAAAATAATAACGAAAATAATTTTTTTTTTTAATTAATAGTGATCGTGAAAATTTTTTCAAGTAAAAGTTATGTGAAATTATGCTGTCTAGCCAACTGAAGAAAAAAAAATCATAAATTTAAAAAAATAGCGAAGTTAGTACTCACATCCGGTATAACCGGAAGTACAAAGAGAATGATTTCATGTCGTAATAATACGTTTTAACGGCCTAATTATGCATTCCAAATGGTTTTCTTATATCACTAATAATAAAGCCACTTGTGAGGGACACCCAGTATAGTATAGTATAGTACTATTTTCTGCTAGCTGTTTCTAGACTTCTATCAGCACCTTGACTCTTCTAGCAGCAGTATCTATACTTTTACCAGCAGTGTTTAATTTTTTATCAGTATTTCTGATCTTGTATTAGCAGTACCAAGACTTCTGCTAACAGTATCTTATCTTCTGGAAGCTGTACCTAGTTTTCCATTAGCAATATCTACTCTTCTGCAATAAGAATTTAATTTTTGTCATAGGCAGAGATCTATGTACTATATGCTATGAAATATTCGGAGTGTTTTCTTCTATTATCAGTATCTAACCTTGCATTAGTATTTTTTTTGTTATGCAAGCACTACCTAGTCTTCTATTAGCAGCATATAGTCTTCTGCCAGCTGTTTCTAGACTTTTATCAGCAGCTTGAGTGTGCTAGCAGCAGTATCTAGACTTTTATCAGCAGTGTTTAATTTTTTGTTAGTAATTCTAGTCTTTTATCAGCAGTACCAAGACTTGTGCTAACAGTATCTTATCTTCTGGAAGCTGTACCTAGTTTTCCATTAGCAATATCTACTCTTCTGCAATAAGAATTCAATTTTTGTCATTGACAGAGGTCTATGTTCTATATGTTATGAAGAAATCAGAGTGTTTTCTTCTACTATCAGTATCTAACCTTGAATTAGTATATTTTTTCTTATGCAAGCAGTACCTAGTCTTCTAGTAGCATTATATAGTTTTCTGCCAGCTGTTTCTAGTCTTCTATCAGCAGCTTGAATCTTCTAGCAGCAGTATCTGGACTTTTATCAGCTGTGTTTAATTTTTTGTTAGTAATTCTGGTCTTGTATTAGCAGTACCAAGACTTCTGCTAACAGTATCTTATCTTCTGGATCCTGTACCTAGTTTTTAATTAATAATATCTACTCTTCTGCAATAATAATTTAATTTTTGTCATTGATAGAGATCGATGCTCTATATGTTATCAAGAAATCGGAGTATTTTCTTCTATTATCAGTATCTAACCTTGCATTAGTATTTTTTTTCTTATGGAAGTAGTACATTGTCCTCTATTAGCAGCATATAGTCTTCTTCCAGCTGTTTCTAGACTTCTATCAGCAGCTTGAGCCTTCTGACAGCAGTATCTGGACTTTTATCAGCTGTGTTTAATTTTTTGTTAGTAATTCTAGTCTTGTATCAGCAGTACCAAGACTTCTGCTAACAATATCTTATCTTTTGGAATCTGTACCTAGTGTTCCATTAGCAATATCTACTCTTCTGCAATAAGAATTTAATTTTTGTCATAGGCAGAGATCTATGTACTGTATGTTATGAAGAATTCGGAGTGTTTTCTTCTATTATCAGTATCTAACCTTGCATTAGCATTTTTTTCTTATGCATGCAGTACCTGGTCTTCTATTAGCAACAGATAGTCTTCTGTCAGCTGTTTCTAGACTTCTATCAGTAGCTTGAGTCTTCTAGCGGCGGTATCTGGACTTTTATCAGCAGTGTTTAATTTTTTGTCAGTAATTCTACTCTTGTATTAGCAGTACCAAGACTTCTGCTAACAGTATCTTATCATCTAAGTTTGTAACTCGCAACCTTCATGTAAGATTTTTTTTATAGTTGCCAGATACACTCCTGTAGCATTACAACACAGTTTTTTAACTCTGTTTTATTTTCATTTGGAAAAATTGTCTTAAAATAATGATACACCTATAAGGGGGTATGCCACCTTGAAGACACGAAAATAATAGGTATTTTTAAAATTTGTTTGCAATCAGACGAAAGAAGTTTTCTAAAAACGGGTTGCAGGGTGTGAATAAGCCACTTTTCTAGTTTTAAATACATATTTTATTTATTAACAATTATTAAAATTGCACCCGGTAGATGTCGGTAATGTTAGCCTTGCAAATCGTGCAGGGTCAAACTGTGCGCAGAATTTCTCCTAACGCGTAAGTCGAATAATTAAAACTTGAATACGATTACTTTAGTAAACTCAAAAACTAGGGAACTATGTAGGATTTTTAAAAAATATTCATTTTTGACGAAATGGTGACGATTTTACAAGAAATGTCGTATTTATATAAAAAACGTACATAAAAATGATTGTAAAACGGAGAATCTGAAACATATCGAAAATCTTTTGAAAAAAGAAAATCTTAAAAATCCGTTCAAAAATGTAGTTTCTAGAAAAACGCGTTTAAAGTTTCCGAATGTAAAAAATTGTATATTTTTTCTAGATACATCAGCATAAATCTAGATACATAAATCAGCGATTCCTGCACCATACAGCTGTCCTTTCTGAAGCTTATTTTCATCTTCTGCAGCTTTTGTGTCTGACAGTAGGCTTCTACGAGCTTCTTTAGCCTCAGCAGTCATGGAGCGCTCAGCGCGAGCAATGCGATTTAAATCCGTTTCATGACAAAAATCGGAGCACGATCTTGTAATTGTTAATTTCAGTGCTTGCATTATTTCCATAATGCTTGTAAGACCGTCATTAAAATTGCAAGCAGCTATATCAGACGCAATGTCAACCACTTTCTTGTCACTATGAATAGTTTTTAGTGCGATACACCATAACGCGGCGTTGTAACTTTCATTGCTGTTTTGCCTAAACATCTTGTCAAAAGATCATCTTCCCTTGATAGTTCTTCGTACACAGGTTTCACTGCGTTGAAAACATCATTGCCGATTGCTGGCTCATCGATTTCTGACAAAGCGTACTCTAAATTCCGTCATTTTGATGAACTTTATTTGCACATAAATCACGTAATTTGGTATTTTTGGCGGAATTTAGATTTTTCTAGCATTAAACGGGTTAATTAGAATAAAACGGAACTCTCATGGCACACTTAAATGGAAAATTAAACATTAAATTCTAAAAAATATTGACGTTTGGAATGTCACTTATGTGGTACCATTGGATTCAGAAAATTATTCAAATTTCAAAAATGTAATAATATACAGGTGTTCCATTTAAAAATCTAAAGTTAGTGTCACTTCCGGCGAAACCGGAATTGAAAAAAAAAAATTACTTGTATGTCAAAAAGTGTCTCTTATCATGTGTATAGGATGTCCCAAATTTGAATCAATTATCTTCAAAACTAAAGGAGATAACAGGGGGTGTACCATGATCCTGTTACACCCGGTATACAATGGATAAAAAATGAAAAAAAATGAAAGGTGTGTTACAAAAATCAATTTTGTAGGCAGAAAAACATTCCGCAAACGTTTTCTGTCAATGGATTCTCATTGTAGACAGTACAAAGAACACTTTTAAGCAAAAAAAAATTATGTTATATCTTAATGTAATACCCTTTGACTGAGTATTAAGTTCCTGTAGTTTATTTCTCACTTCTGTTGATTTCTTTTCATAAGAAATTGCACTGCAAATCCATAAAACAACTTAGTTACGTAAATCGATTGTAATTCATAATAAACAAACGCTCATTGCAAGTATAAAAACCCACTTGCTAAAGTGTCATCAACTGTATTTCAATATCTTTTTGAATATTGATAATAGGATTAGGTTCACTTATTAACGGTAGTTTTAATAAAAATATTTGAATTAATTTAATTTTTTTTTGTAGGAAGTAGAACAGTTGCGTCAAGAAAAACTGGAAATCGACCAACAATTACGTAGTATACATGGTTCAGGAATGGGTTCAATGCAAAGTTTGCAGATGTCACGACGAAACGATCGCGGTTACAGCTCGGACATGGATGGTGGAAGTCGTGGTCGAGGTGGAACGATGCGTGGCCGTGGTAGTAGAGGTCGTGGCGGACCCGGACACCAGAACAACTCGCGATACAACGCCGGTAGTACGATTTCTGATTACGTGAACAACGTGGACAAACGCAAGCCGATGGGTAACGGTCGCGGAGGCGGTCGAGGCCCCACTAGTAATGGTCGGGCTTCGAGGGGCGGTCCAGGGGGCGATCGGAGCGGCGGAGCTCGAGATCGACCCGGACGCGGCCGACCTCCCGCGGATCCCGCCGCGGGCGGTGACCGCGAAAGGAAGTGATTGCTCATTTGCCGCGCCGAAATTTTTCGATAAACAAAAAAAAAATAATGATGAAAATATGTTTGGAGCAGCAACAAAAAAAAATAACTATTATTATTGTCCCCGGGCTCTGTGCACCACCATAAACAAAAAAAAGTTTTTTGGGGAATCATTTTGGTTTGATTAATTTACATTAAAAAAAATTGGGTGATTAATTAATTAATTAATTAAACCAATCAATTCTCCAAATTAATCATAAAACTTTTCTTGTTTAAAAAAAGGCTTTATTGAAGAATTTGGTTTATTAATAATGTTTTTAAAAATTTCCTCCTTAGCCAAATTAATTTTTTAAAAATATATTTGAAGGGTTTATTGACAAACCCTTTAATCAGCGATAATCGCTAATAAATGAGAGAGAGATTGAGCGAAATAAGAAATATTCTGTGGTGCACACGGCTACACGCAATCAGAATTCCAGGTGATTTCATTGTAATAACAATTTTAAAAACAAAAAATGCGTACTATACTGTTTAGACTGACCCGGCAATGTGAGACACTATTTACGACTTCTTAAACTTGCGAACGTGAAAAAAACTGAACCAAAAAATAATAAATACCCGAAATAAAAAAAAATAAAAAAATACAAGGCAACAAAGAAATATTTTAATAAAAAAGAACCCTTTAAAATTTTTTAAGGGCGATTTAAATCTGTTGCTTTCTCCCATCACCACCCGACCGAGTTTAAATTTAGTGGAGAAAAAGATGGTTTTTTCTCAACTGTGCAGTACCGAGTTTGTATAAAAATCTACTTCCCCGCCTATTGTTTCTATAAAAATAGTTACTACGTTTTTCAAAAAAATAAAAATAGAGTTTTTTTTCGAATTAACTTGAAAAGAAAATTAAATCTTATTGGAAGTAAGAGAAACCATTTAATGTAGTTTGTTTTGATTTGATGAAGAAGCTTGCTTTATTTCAAACAGATGAAAAAAGTTTTTACATTGATACAGTGATATAATAAAGTCCAATAAAATAAAGAAAATGATATCTCAGATTCCAAAATGTAATTTAGAATGAAATTTTTTAACAAAAGATTTAAGAAGTCTATATTATTTCCATATTTTACTACTTTCTTTCTTCATACTTTTGTTGTGCCATCATAACATAAAATACAACAGTTTGTCAGAAGGTTCATAAACAACCTAAAATAGCTCCAATATGGTTCTTAATCATTTAGACAAGTTTCCAATGATCATTAACCACATTTTGAACAACCTGAAATAGCTGATAACCAGTTCTTAATCATTTTGACAAATTTCTATTGATTTCCAATCACTTTGAATAACGTTCCAACGTTGTAAACTTGCTCTGGATAGCCTTAGATATGGTTTTGAATCATTTTGAATAACATGGAATAGCTGTGAATTAATTCTAAATCATTTAGACATCTTTTCAATAATGACTAATTAGTTATAAATTATTCTGGACAAATTTAAAAAGCTTTGTGCAAGTTTACAATGATTTGGACAAACATTTAATGACTTAGCTCAACCTAAAATAGCTACGATTTGGTTCTTAATCATTTAGACAAGTTTCCAATGATCATCAATCACATTTTGAACAACCTGAAATAGCTGATAACCAGTTCTTAATCATTTCGACAAATTTCTATTGATCTCCAATCACTTAGAATAACGTTCCAACGTTGTAAACTTGCTCTGGATAGCCTTAGGTATGGTTTTGAGTCATTTTGAATAACATGGAATAGCTGTGAATTAATTCTAAATCATTTAGACATCTTTTAAATAATGACTAATTAGTTATAAATTATTCTGGACAAATTTAAAAAGCTTTGTACAAACTTACAACGATTTAGCCACCTTTCAATAACTTTGAAAACCCGGAAAAAGCTATGAAACAGTTATTTAAACTGGGTTGGAATCATTTAAACGGTTTTACATGGATAAGAATCAATTTCACGAAGCTGTATCTGATTTCAATTTAAGCTTCAATTTTTCATTAACGTTAAAACACCATTTTTTTGTGCACAACATCAAATCCAAAGGAAATTTATGTCTGTTGGACGTAGTTATATTGCGAAAGAGGAGTTGTAGGTGCAAATATCAGTTAAAAGGATTCATAAGCAGTTTATAATCATTTGAATTGATTTGGAAAAGATAAAAACCAGTTATAAATCATTTAGACAAGTTTCTAATGATTATTAATCACTTTTCAAACATTTTGAACAACCTAAAATAGCTCCGATTTGGTTCTTAATCATTTAGACAAGTTTCCAATGATCATCAATCACATTTTGAACAACCTGAAATAGCTTTGAATAACGTTCCAACGTTGTAAACTTGCTCTGGATAGCCTTAGATATGGTTTTGAATCATTTTGAATAACATGGAATAGCTGTGAATTAATTCTAAATCATTTAGACATCTTTTCAATAATAACTAATTAGTTATAAATTATTCTGGACAAATTTAAAAAGCTTTGTGCAAGTTTACAATGATTTGGACAAACATTTAATGACTTAGCTCAACCTAAAATAGCTCCTATATGGTTCTTAATCATTTAGACAAGTTTCCAATGATCATCAATCACATTTTGAACAACCTGAAATAGCTGTGAATTAATTCTAAAGCATTCAGACATCTTTTTAATAATGTCTAATTAGTTATTAATTATTCTGGCCAAATTTAAATATAATAAAAAATCATTTAGACAAACATTTAATGACTAATAATAAAATAATAGACTAATTAATCGTTTTAAAATTTTTATCAAATTACATTTTAGGAAGTAGGCTTTGTTGTATCACTGTATATACAGGGGGGCCATAAAAATGTATTGATTTAAACATTTTTATGATTCGCACTGTTTAATTTAAATTTAAAAGGAAGTTAATGTTTTTTTTTCTCTATAAAGTATTTTTTTATTTTAATTTTTAGCATCTTTAAAAACGATTAAATAACGAACCTTATTAAACGATGTATGTATATATAAATTGTCGTAATACACTTTTGGAAATGATCCTATTTAAACGATTTAAAGTGACATTGATTTTTGAGAGACAAAAAAATCTTTTTTCTATTTTCACTTGATAAGAATTTATTCTTTAGTTTATTTGAACGATTTTTGATTTTTAATCTTTTCCCTAATGGATCTATGTATAATATATAGTCGTATAACTTTCTTGGAATCGGTTTTAAGCCGATTCGAATTTCGTTTTTAAATCTATATATATGGCAGTGTAATGTAATTAAAAAAGAAAAAAAAGAAAAACCGTATAAAATGGAACATGCAGTTTTTCAAAACGAAATTATTTTTTATTCATTTAACTGCATCTTCTATAAAGGTTTTTGAGAAATATTCCGAAATGAACGAAAAATTTAAAAAAAATATTAATAAACGTTGTCCGCAAAAAAAAAAAACCTAAGTATACATAAAATTAGTTGATCAGCGATTGAGTTTTTATGGGCAAAAGGAAAACCCAAAAACTATATCGGAGATTATTGAATAATTAATTAAAAAAATGATGCAAAGGCGAGACAAGGTTGCCAAAAAAAAAAAAATTATGGAAACGTCGTTTTGTTGCAGGATTTATCACCCCTTTTTTAATCTTAATACAAGTTGAGATGTTAAAAAAGTGTGTTTAACCTGCCCAAACCATTATCTCTCGACATAACCTAACATTAAAAACGGGAAAAAAGAACTTAAAGTTGTTTAAAAAATAACTAAAAAGAAAAAAAGAGCCTTGCTGCAAGGGTACTCGAGACAAACTCCCGGACCCGTGGCCCGGCTTGGGAGTTTGCCGATTTGCAAAATAATAAAAATCGCTACGGAGGCATTGATTTAGCGCGAGACTGCCACGGAAAAAGACTGGCTGATATAAAAACTCATGTCGTATTAATATTATTGTGAGAATTTTTTAGAAATATAACTTGATTAAAAAAACACCCTGTGTTTTCTTTTCGTTTTCTTAATCATACTTTATATTTATTTTTGGGTTTTTTTCGTAGCTGGTTTTTTATTTAAACCCGAATCGACTCTCGTGGTACCCTTTCAGCAAGCAATTCTCGTCTATTTAATTTGTACTAACTCTAAAATATGTTTTTTTTTATTTTGTGCCACTAACAAATCTAAAATTTCTAATGTATATACACATATATTTGTTTTTTTACATATCATCGCGTGCAAATGAGCAATCACTTTACAAAAAAAGGCTTTGCTAAAGGGTTCACCGAGTCACGTTACATAATTTTAAATTTTATTTTTTTAACCCTTATTAATATTTATAATGCGTGGGTGAATGTGATTTAGTGTATAAAAATGTCAAAATGGGACTAATCGATTAAAAACTCCTTAAGGATACTTAAGGAGCATGAAAAAATTAAATAAGTCGATTTTGACGTTTTTTGGCAATCTTAGAAAGATGCCAGGAAATAAAACGAGCATTTTGAATTCTGTCAAAATGATATTAATTGATTGGAAACATCTTGAGATCATTTCACATACACGAGGGGACCTAATAATATTAAAGGAGACGATTTCCAGAAAATTTAGATGATTTTGGACATTAAAAAAATTAATTGGTTTGAGCCAAAATGGTTGTAATCGATTAAAAAGTACTCAAAGATACTTTACGATTACCAAAGAATAAAAAAAAAACAATTTTGACGTTTTTTGGAAGAATTAGAAAGAAATTAGGAAATAAAAAGCTTGTTGGAGTGTGTCAAAATGATACTAATCATTTTGACACACTCCAACAACAAGATTGGAAACATCTTGAGGTGATTTCACAAACACGAA